AAAAATTCCACAAAATCGATACGTAAACAATGCTGTCGAAAGATTAATAGATCATGAGAACAAAAGAATCATTTAAAACAGCATATATAGTCACACCATTCTACTCCAATGGTTTAGGATAAACAGAGACTACATGAACACTTAATTAATAAATAACAACAATATATCATTACTTATATAAATTTAAACATAGATAGAGACGAATATGATAATCTCTTCTTTACTGCACCCATGCTTCCCTCTGCTTGTCGCCTCCGCATTGCTATAACAAGCCCTTAAGCGACGCTACCAACATCGCACTACACACAATCTTGCATTCCTCATAAAACTGATTTGTCAAAAAAATTCAGTAATGAAAGAGCAAAAATCGATGAAGAGAATATAGAAAAGTGCATAAAATCGATATCATTTTTTATGACGGAAGAAAAAAGTCACGATTCGAAACAGAAGGCAAAAGTGATGGTTCTTAATTATAGCATCAGATAGTAATTCTTGGTTTATTTGGAAAGTTTTATTTTGAACGAAAATGCCTCCTAATAAGAATCGCTGAAGCAGAGCAAATCGAAAATTACTCGGAGCAATCTTTACTTCTTTTTCCTGGATAATTTTTAAGAGTATCACCAGAAATTCATTTGAAACAGATATTTGAATCTAGAGAATGTAAAGTGGAAAAAATAATAAAGTCCAGCTACATCAGTAAATCCGGATGTTAAAAGTTCACTGGAGTTTGACAACGACGATAGAAAATCAAATTATATTCATCAAAACTACGTCCACGTTGAGATTCGTTCATATTGCAAGATTCGGTACTGTAACCAATTCGAAATCGATATGCGCTGTGCATATAATTACCAACTGGTAGTTCATAAATTCCTTCTATTATCTGGAAAGTGATAGATCATATGAGCGAAATATAAAAAGTACAATACGGCAAGATGGAGCATTTCCTATAAAAACGACAAAAGTGCATAACAGAATCCATCCTCTTATACAATAATCTGACAGGGGAAAAATTCAAAAAGATAAAAAGATCAACAGCTAATGAAAGCTAATGAAAGACGAAGATATATAGAATGTGTATGCTTGAAATGAAGAATACCTTTTGAACAACCGGTTGTTTCCCACGAACTGTCCTTACAGCATGCTCATCATTGCACGGTTTTTGATCAAAATCTCGCAAACTACCACAATTATCAATATAATTACCACTATCTCCAACACTAAAATTTAAAATTCAGCGGTTGAAATATATAACAAATTGTAAAGTAACATAAATTCACAGCATTCCGTTTAGTAACAAGAAAAAAATCAAAATGTAAATAAATCTGAAACGAATTTGTTTGAAAAGCGTCTTTGAGCTTAAAAAATCAAATGTCTTCTAAAATAACTGATTAAAATTTCATTTTTGTGGCGAATACCTATTGTTCACCGCAAAAATGTGAATAGAATAGGAACTCTTTTTTCATTTATCCAACCACAATCTATTATTCCATAAAGAAGTTATGAATAGCAAGATCGGTAATCCAATAAGGAATGTTTGAATGATTTAAAGAAATAAAATGTTAATCTAATCCATCAGAAGCAATTTTTTAAATATAATCACTGCTTCGATAACCAAACAAAAGCGCTCGGTTTAAAACTTCCTATTATGTTAAACTATGTAATGAGGGATAAAAATAATTTACAAAGTAAAACATACTCAAATTTAATTTCCAATGGGACAGTTGGCATAGTCGGTGAAATGGGTATATAAAAAGTGTAGAGACCACGATGTGGTTTACAACTATCACTTGTACAATACCGATCATCGATGGTTATATTGAAATCCAGTATTTCAATAGTAATATCTGATATTAATGATGAAAAAAACGCTCGTCTATCGAAAGATGATGCCCGGTTTTCCTCACTGCCCTTGACTTTTAATAACGATTGTTGCTGCTGCGATAGAGACAAAACTGTTTGCTGATCCTAAATTGTTAGTGCATCTTTTTTATTAAAAAAATTTCGACAATTTGTTTAAAGGATTAAAAAATTTCGATAATTTGTTTAAACTTTACGAGAAAAATCTAACAGGAATCTGTTTGGAAACCCCTTTTTTAAGTAAATATTTTTGATTTAGTTAAAAGTCCAATACCTATTTCGTAAATGACAGAAATATGAAAAAAAAAACCACTACCATTTCTCCCCGACTTATACTTCTTTTTCTGGAGAAATGAAAACTACGCATTTTACCAAATAGTAAACAAAATATAGTCGATAAAAACAGAACAGATTCAGTAAAGTAGCCAAAATCTTGAAATTAGAGTTAAGTAGCTTAAAAGATTTCTAAATGTTTTCTCGAAATGTAAAATTAACTTTAAGAAAAAACCAAGATTTAATACCTTGTCGTCATCATTTGCTATGCTATATTCATCATCTTTCATACAACAAAACGTATGACAATACATATGATCGCATGAAACGCTTAGTGGTGGCGCATGCGGTTGGATTGGTGGCTTCCAAACATTATCCTTGACTTGGACAATTTGACCAATTTTTACACCTTGTTCCATCATTGGCCCATTAGAAGTGGTACTTTCAAACATATATGGTCGTTTCTGATACCCAAATGTTCGATTATGCCAGTCCAATACATATAGCGTTGACATTGCTATTAAGCTGTAAAGAAAAAGAAAATAATTTCCACATTTCCAAATAAATCTTGGATTGTTTATGGTTATTGAATTCATAACAATACATCCACATCTCTAGCATAATTCAGTTCAATGAATTAATGTTTAGACAAAACACATTTTGATACGCTATATAAAAAAACTATTTAAAACTGAAAAAATTCAGAACCTCATAAAAAAGTAAAGCAAAATAATCTGTTTAATTTCTTTCCTAAAGATTCACGAACCGATTCATTTAACCTAATTTACAAAGGCAATATGAAATCAAGAAATTACCAAATAGCCATTACTCCAACAAGGATAACAATTGTTCCTTGGGTTACTTTCGAACTACATAGCGGAGGTTCCGCACGATGACAGGATGGATTTCTACAGTGCCAATATTTTTCACGGCTTTTGCTCCGCTCTTTATTATCCCTGCAAAATATTAATGATGATTATAATAATATTTGAAGATTGTAAAAATAAAGGTTTGGAATTTCATAGCTTTTGAAGTACTCAGAAACAACAAACATTTTTTTTTTCTAGCACTCGCCGAACCTCGCTTTTTCTTTCCTTCCTATTTTTCACCCCAAAAAAAAGTCCAGAATTCTGAGAAGAACTTGCCTACGGTGACATTTGTCACGTGAAACACAAGATGGAGCAATCGAAGCAAGCGATGTATGCGATGACATGAAGCTTGCTTTATCTGAGAATCCAAGATCACTTAGACCGCTCGCTAAGCTACCAATATCCTTATTTTTTCGACGATGCAATTTGGCTAATTTGTGAGATAACTTTTCAACAGCTTCAATTTTGTGCTCCAAATTTCCTGTAAGGCGACAGAGTTCAGTTGCTGCTGCAACCGTTTCATAGAATATCCGTGAATCATCAACCTGAAAATTCAACCAGATTTGCTGAAAAAAACCTTAAAAATTAAATCAATTTGTTTATACCATTAAAAGTTGAATCACATATTTTAACAATTTGGTAACTTGATATATGTCCCTTTTTCACACTACTAAAAATATATCATAATATATTTCAGATCATTATACCTATGAGTAATAATAAGACTTTTTTCACTTTTAAAAATTTTAGAACAGCTAGAACAAGAAAAATAAAATAACCGGAAGGTTTTTCAAATACCGAAAAATTCATAATTTTCTAAGAAGTTATTATGCACCTGTAAAAAATCTCCATTGTCAGTTACCGCATCGGGCAAAATTTCAGCCAACTCTTGAGCAATAACACCGACTCTATGGCGATTTTCTTCTGACAAACCCCATTTTAGCGCTATTTCAGGTTTGTACGAGTAGCCAACAACGCGAATTTGGGCAAGATGAGATAGGGCGCTTTTGGTATCCACCTAGATTTCAAGAATTTTAGAAGCAGTACAATTACTCTAAAAAATATTAAAAGTAAATACTGCAAAATATGACAAGTATCCAGATTAATCATAATAATCTTGAAATAGAGAAAGAGAAAAAAATAAGGATTAATAAATGAACTTCATGGATTTGTTCTTTCATCCGACGATCGGATGGACGGTGAACAACTCCAGAACAATAGATGTCACCACCAACAGTCAAGGGCGCAACAGCTCGATCAGTGCCAATTGCCACCGAACCACTATTATAATATAGAGTTGAACCATTCTTCTGCCATGTAGCATCCGAATCTGGTGGCTCAAACTGACCTGGATTTGAAGCCTGCAATAAAACAGTAACAACAATAAAACAACAGTTATCAAATCAATCTTGAAATCTGATCGGCTATTTCTACAAGTTTATTAGCAAAAAATCCAGTTCCAATGTGATTTCATTCTTTTACCGGGTTCTCTCAATGGTTAACAATATTCTACAGTCAACATCTCTTGGCTATTAATATTTCTTTTCGCTAATTTTTTCTGAAATAGTAGAAAATAGCACAAAGCTTACTCGAACAATTACTTTCTCGGATTGATAAGCCTGAACAATAGCATCATGTCCATCAGCAGTACACGCAATCAAACGAACAACAAGTAAGAAGTATTTCTGATCCGGATTTGGACGACCGTTTTTTCGCTGATTATTCATAGTTGTTTCGGAGAAATGCAGCCTTGGTACGGTTACTTTTGTCATCCGTCGTTCATGAATTTCAAGTCTAAAATGGGGGAATGAGTTCGAAATATTGTTATTTGAAATTCCAGTCAAGAATTTAAGTACATAATTTAAAAGTAAAACTTTTGTTCTTTAACCAAGAAAGTTTCGCGTGATATGAAAAACTATTTCGACTTCGTTATTATTTTCTATAAGAAAAAAACTTACGATACAGGATCATGCGGTACTGGCCTTCTATCTGTTGTAGATTGCTTGATTTGTATCTCTGATGTTGGCATTTCACTTTTTACACCACAAAATGCTAGCTTAAATTCTTTTACCATTTTCAATTCGTTACCTATTTTAACGAAATTTGGTGGATGATTGTCAATTGCTTCGATGTGTACAGAAATCTGGAAAAAAGAATGTATTGATTTTTCCCAAGCCCTATTAAACTATCCAGAAAATTCTTAGGGATGGAAATGTACAACTAGTCATCCGGATTAAAAGCTTCCGTGAATCTATAAAGTATAATTATATAAGTAATGTAAAGAATAAATAGACATATAGCGCAAAGTAGATGTAATGTAAAAAGAATGGCACTGGAAAAATATCTGATAATCATAACGTGGGAAGTAAGAGACCTATCGAGTAATTACATAAAAAAGCGAAAGCTAAATTAAATTGTAAGGATATCAAAAGAACAAAAATGATAAATGGAAAAGAATTCCATCCCACAAATAAAAAAGACTAAATTAAAATTTCTTCTAAAATGCAACTTTTGAATATTTTATTAAATGATGGAAAATCTCATTCGTTACTAGAGTAAAGTAAACAATATCATAAAATTCAAACCTGAAAATGGTTTTTCTTCTGATTTACAAAGCAATTATCCATAGTACTATAATTAAATCCTTTATCTGCCACAACATGCATTTCCAATTGGTGTAATGGTCTTTGGTTGATATCATACAAGGTAGCCCAATGTTCCTCGTTGAATGCAGTAAATTTGATTGCTTGTTGATGGAAACTGTCGTCAAAATCTTCTACTGTAGTTACCGGTGATGATATTACCGTAAGCTGACTGGGTAACGAAAATACCTGGAAGGAAATATCAGAATAAGTAGTTTTGTAAATTCATGTATACATGTTTAAAAGACTTTTTGATTTCAATAAAAATATTGAATATTAATAAAATTGGAGTTATGAGGTAAAAAATAATACCATTCAAACCTTATCTACTTGAAGATTTGAAATGGGCAAGAAAGAAACGAAGTAATAAATTTCCAAAAATTAAAAAGTTGGAAAACCATTTTAATCTAGCTTTCAGATCTGTAATATGCTAAAAAATTATATAAAAAATCTACCTTCTGCGGTTCACTTTTCACATTAGATGATGCTGAATTATGTTGTTGCTGATGTTGTTGTTGTTGTTGTTGCTGTTGTTGTGATGGTGGTAGTGGTGGCTGCTGTTCCGATCGCACGCGTTTACGACTTATTTGGCCATCATTTTGTGAGCTTGAAGCATCACCATCACTAGCTGCGGAATTGATCACGTTACTATATGGATCCATTTGATAATCATTATTCTGGATCAAATAACCACTATTAACCGATCGCATGTTGACCGCTGGCGGTGAAACCTATAAGATTTAGAAAGAATTTGACACTTTTAAACAACATAAGGTTTCATAAAGTTATTTTCGATTTTCCTTTTTTATATTTTAGACAGAATCAAAAATTGAATACCTGAGGTAATGCGGAAGGTGTCGACTGCGGCGGATATCCACTACCACTACCAATAAAATCGGATTGTGGCGATGGTAAAACATGCTGCAATATACGATTACCGAGATGATTTTGCTGCAGGAGCTCTTGCGGTACCAACATATGTGTCGCTAAATCAGGCCGGATACCAAGAATGAGACCATTGCCGTTCTGCTGAGTACCATGAATAACTGAAAGTTTTTTGATCAATTTCATGCTTCACAGTATTCTATATAAGTAAACTATTTCAGGCAATTGAAATAAACATTCTAAACATAGCTGCCACCATATGTAAAACACGGACCATATGTGTGCAATTTTGAAAGACGAATTTACCGCTTTCCTGCAGTAAAATTATTAGGTTAAAATCAACGAAATTTTGGAAATGGGCAATAACGCTTCTTACATTACAATTAAGTTTTTTCCTCAAGTTACATATTTGCAAGATTATAAGAGTGTGTGTATAAGATAAATTTATTCTAAAAAAATGGTTTGATCTTTCCTTTTAAATATGGATTGTGAAATTAGTGCTGAAAAAAAATTTTTATCACATGAGACACTAGCATACACCAATTCATTGTACATATATTACATGGATATACCATATTTTGCTTCCATGAAATATGTTTATATATATTCTTTTCATTATGAGAAATGTTTCATAATTCTTGAGCACGGGAGAGGGAAAAGGTCATTTTGTATTTGAATTAATGAAAGAAGTGAACTGAGCGAAAAAAGGACACTTCATCTATTTTACGTTTTAGAAAATTGTCACCATTCATTAACAACAACTCTTTCAAAAATCGTAAGCGTGGTCCTGTTTCTTTCATTAGCTTTTGAGATATTTTTTCTATTACAAAAAACTTTGTTTCTCTATCGTTTCATTGTGTTTCCTCATAATTTATCTTTCGTAATCTCCGAAACGTTACTTTCCAGCCAGGTCGAGACTGTCACGTGTATTCACTGAATCTGTTTGATCTTAGATGGTTCGTGTAACGATGGACAGAACCAAAACATTATTGCTATAGCCCAGCAAACCTCTCAATGCAATTCGTTCGATTTTAGGTCTTGGAAGTTACCAACATCATTTAATTCAATTGGATAATCTGACTGATAAAATTAACTAATCTTTTCGGAATAATATAATTATAAACCGAGGTTAACAGAATTTCGTTGGTTTATTAAAATCATTTAAATTCTGAAAATCATCATCACGTAATGATTTTCAGTCTTCGCACCAAAAATGCATGGAAAGTTGAAAATAACAATCTTACGCTGATAACTCTGGTAATTATCCGGCGAATACGGTGAATCTGAAGCAGAGCTTGGTGAACTCGATGAACCAGCGCCTGATATATCCGTGATTGGTGGACTATCAGGTAGTCTGAAGTAGGAAAAACAATGCTTGAGAATAATCAATGAACTCACAAATGGACAATGGCAATAATAATGTTAAAATTTAAGTTTAAATCTCTTGTA